TCAACAACCCCTTGCCGTTCTGCCCCTTTTCTATGACGGCAGGTACTCTACTCTCCTACCCTCGAGCAACGACTACCTTTGCCTTCGGGCAAAGAGGGAAATGAAAGCGAAACTGTTCGACAGTGCTCTGCGCGCCGACTTCCCGCTCTCGCTGTCTCTCTTCCCTTTTGGCTTTTTTTCGTTTATCTCTCTCACTCTTTTCCTTTCTACGCCTCCCTCTCTTGTCATCTCTCCCTCTGTCTCTCTATATTCGCTATACCCTTCTCCGTCTCTCCTTTTCCCTCTCTCTCTCTCTCTCTCTTTCTCTCTCATCCTTTCGCTACATTCGCCAGCCCCATTTCGCTCTCTGGCTTACACGCTTGTGCCTGCTTTCCTTCCTACCGCCCCGCGGCTGCCATCCTCCTTCCACCCTTCTAATTTTTCCACCCCTTTCACTAAAATTAAAATCAATAGTAGCACCACGTACCCAGGGACTATGCCGGAAACATTGCTACCCTCATCAGCTGCTGCCTACCACAGACTCCAAAAAGCATATATTCCGCGGCAAGCTCTTTATATTGATATCTCATCATTTTAAAAAATTTATTTTTCTTTGGATTGACAATGAGTAACGCGCGATTCTCAGACATTTGCGTAATTTAGAGAAAGCAATAAACGCAATTGACAAGGATAGATATAAATATAATATAAATTTTATTATGTACAAAATACGCTAATATACGAACGGATTCTAAATAAAGTAATTTATCCGAACGCGTTTCTCGCGCAATATTTATCTGAAAAAGTGCAATTTAAAACTTTTGGCTTTCGGAAATTTTTATAGAAAATGCACGCAAGAAATATAATTTCTATAGACATGTATAGATAAATCTAAATATAAATCACTGATAATTTTGTACACATACTTATTAATAACTAGGTTGAATAAACACATAAAGAGATGTGTATCTTAATTTCGTATAAGGCGGAAATAAATGCATGCATACATACATACATATATATGTATTTGCGAGGATGCGCCACGTCAGACGTGTCGGCTGAGTAACAGGTACAGTTCGATCCACTGTTAAAGCATACAGGTGGTCGACTATGCTTCCATCATTCCTTCGATGCGAGTAAAAATTTCTACCATGCACGTGCCAGCCACCGCACGCTCACACACATACGATGTTTGCATATGGAATTTTTTACACGTGCGCGAATAACAGAATAAAAATCTGACGCCCGCTGAATAAAAAGTTGTATTCAATAACGCTCGCGGTTGGCGTTAAGTGGTATTAACTCTTTGCTTTTCTACCAAACCTCGTAATATCGAAATATTTTTTTTATCAATTTTATAATTTTTAATCTTTTTTTTTTTTTTTTTTTATCGCGATAACGATACACAGTTGGCTCTCTATCTTAACGCGAGAAGAATATTTCTCACATAATAACGCGAGATATTATATAAGATAGAATGTTTGCCGACACATAAAGTATTTTTTAAGGCTCTATTTTATGAAATTAGAGAAACGAGATAAATTTTATCTCAACAAAATTGAGAGACAACATAATGTAAAATTTTTAATTTAATCTCATATGTAATTCTTGAAATTGGAAAATTATTTTTGCAATTTAACTTTTGCGAGATATATTCTTTTCAATTATGTATAATAATATGCTGACATTATTCATTAAAATTCGATATGACATACGAGAGAGATGTTACAATCGTCCGAAACGTATGTTATATAATTGTGCGAACGCGTTGTCAGTGCGAGGCCTCCATTTATCTACCTTCCTACTCAATTTTCAGGCTCGCTATACACCAAAACCACTCCTACGCTGAAAGACATCTCGCAGGCAGCACGGGATGGGAAGGGAAAGGGAAGGGAAAGGAAGGGAGGCAGCGTTCGCGCGCGCGTACCGTTACAAGTGCTGTCATAATTTAATGTAACCAGCGCGCGCGGTCACGACGAGATACTTCTCGCGTAACGGAACCATTTCTCCGATCTCCTACCCCTAGTATCCCCAACCTCCCTATATCCTATCCTGTCCTTCTATTCCCTTATGACCTCTCGGCATCGGTCGCGGCTCCTCTTTTTCTCTCTCTCTCTCTCTCTTTCCCCGTGCGGTTCCAATGCGGAAGTAGCGCCACCATGTGTTGACACCGCGCAGTTGACCTTCACGGTCAACCTGTTCCCCGCGCGCGCTCTGTGTTTAGGTTAGGACGGCCTAGAGAGAGGGAGATTGACACTCGCGAGCATGTGTGCGCGGCATGTTTTTACAAAATGGTGCCAGAGGCAAATCGCGCCGGTGGAAAAAAAGAAGGGAGCGAGATTGACGAGCAAGACCCGCGCGCCCGTTTCTCTCACGTCGAGGCGGCGCGTTCGAAGCCTCCTCGTTACGATCGATATCGGCGATGACGACCGCGAAGACGAGAACCGAGAACAGGCTACGAAGACTCGATCCGCGTGTGACGTTTACGTCCCGCAATCTTCTCTCTCTCTCTCTCTCTCTCTCTCTCTCGATTCACGCGCGAGATTTCCCTCTCACGTATTCGCGAGAAGCGAACGTACCGCCCTCACCGGTGCCCACAATGCGATGGTGGTATTGATTTAAAAGTACATTCGTGTTTTCATAATGCCGTATCTGTACCGACGTTCAAACTCCCCCTTCTCCCCGTCTCTCTCTCTCTCTCTCTCTCTCTCTTTCTCTCTCTCCATCCTCTGACCCCTCGCATCCAACTCTCTGCAACCCCTGGCATGCCGCGCGTACAGCCCAGAGCATGGATCGCAACGACGCTCCCGTCAACACGGAGAGACCAATCAGACTCTGCCTCTCGATTTCCAGTCATTTCGCTCAACTATTCTCTCTTGTTCGCCCTAATGTCTATTCGTTCATCTATCCGTCCATCTAGCCATTTATTTATCCATCCGCATCCTCCTTTTGCTATATCTTCTATTCTTGTCCTGTTCCTTCGCTTTCCCCGTTTCTCTCTTTTTCTCTCTCTCTCTCTCTCTCTCTCTTTTTCTCTCTCTATTTTTCTCTTCTCCCGTCTCTGTATCGGGTGCAATTAAAACCGTTGTCAAGCGATTTGGCAGACGGTTAAATAGGATTCCAAAAAGTAATTAGTTCAGCATGTTAAAATGCGTGAATTATTCTGTTCTAGAAAAAAAAAGATTCTTTTTGAAAAATTTATTTTATAATGATTTAAATGAAAGCATAGTAGAGATAATAGGACTAATGACAAACAAATGGAACAACGTAATGATTTTCCAATGATAAAAAATTAACAATATAATAAATTTGCATTGTAAAGGCATAAATATGTATATATATAGTTGCCCCCCGAAGAGAAAGAGAGAGAGAGAGGGGGGGGGGAGAGAGAGATTTAACGATCTCATAAAATTATACCAAAAAATAACAAATATTTATTTTATTATTGGAAATGATTATAGAGAGAAAACTCTGGTGCAACGTGAAATTTACGAATGATAAATGATAATTAATGGTTCCATCGAGAGAGAAGCGTGTTATGGTAAAAAATGTTTTTAACAGAAATTTAATTATTTATCAGCCGTTTGATTGGAAAGCATGTAGAGCTTTCTGGTTCGTCGATCATATATTCAGTTTTTGCAATCGTCAGACACATTAAATAACAAAAGATCATTGATTTTACGGGGCTATAAAAAAGGCGGATTATATAAGCATGCTTGTTATCGATTACTAAATGAAAAATACACATTGCAGCCTTGGTGGCAGTTATATTAAATGAAATGCCTCCCACTCGCGTGCGTTTCTCTCAATAATAGACTCTCCATGTCTACTGTAATAAACAATACTTTATCAAACAATTATTAATGTGTACGTGGACGACCTGGACAACAAAAATAATGAAAAATGAAAAAATATCAGATTTGCAGTTTGATTTGCCTCTAACTTGACGTTATAATTTCTATGTAGCATAATTATAGTAGACGATTTATATATGTGGATACGCACATTTTCGTGTTGTAGGATTTATACATGTGTGTATACTTGCGTAAATCCTACAACATGAAAATGTAATACGCAACTCTGGCAAAATATCACGATTGCTTGCTTTAACGGTACATCAGATATTTAGGAATCTATTAATTAATTACTCATTAATTTGATGGATGCTTAATTAAATGATTAAATTACGGGCACCAAACAACACGCATCTCTGATTTGTATCTAGTGAATGAACTTATTCATTATTATTCCACATACTGTAACACACATAATTATAGTAAAAAAGATTTGGCTTCTTGATCGAGCTAGGATGATAAAGTAGTTATCCCGCTAGCAGTTTACGCAACCAAATGATTTTATAATACCTGAGAAAGATTCTAATCGCTTTTGTCACTGGAAGTATTTGAGATTTTTTATGGTAAATAATGATAAACTAATAATGGATACCAAATTAGAAAGACAATTTCAGATGCGAAATAAATGTACAAATCTGTACTTTTGTCTTTTAATAATTTTAGATAATAATTTCATATAAGTAAAATATATTGTTTAATATAAAGCACAAATATAATAAAACTGCATATATAATTTTTCAGTATTTTTTACTTACTTGATGTAATAATACCAAGCATGAGAAAAAGTGTGTGAGGTTGATTTACGCTTACTCTTTTATAGCTATATAGCTTTACATATCCAAATATGGTTCCAATTAAAATCTTGCATTCTGTTAAATAAACAAACATTAAAAATTTTATTACTAATGCATTACTAATATGTATTGTATTATTAATAAAAAACTTTTTTTATCATGTAAAATTTTATGGCATACAATGTTATTAGAGATCACAAGAACTTTTCAAATATTTAAATATATGTTTAATATACGTTTCTGCAAAAATAGGGAGAAAAACAAATAAAATTTAAATGCTAATTATTATCAATAATGCTAATAACGCTATTAATACTTGCATACGTGATGTAAACAAAAGTACTCCTACGATAATCGTAACAATAAATGCTTCTTTATTCGTGCCTAATAGTTTATTTTGCAAAATAAGTTGACATGTACAGAGATAGTTTAGCGGCTGGTAGAAATAAAAGCATGTAAGAAATTTTCGCACGTACGTTGTTTCCGTATTACATAATGACCGCAACTAGCATTACTTTCGATTTACCAGTTATATTGAAAAAAAAAAGAAATGCTGAATACGAAAGATTGCGATTGATATTTTTAAACAGTAGCTTGCATCTTATAAAATATTAAAACAGTCTCCGACGTTGAAGCTTGCACACACGCTCTCTCTCTCTCATCAGTTACTCTATATCTTTATTAATTTTTCTTTTACGCGTTTTTATGGTAAGGTCTTCGCATTAATCCTCTCATGCGCAATGTCAATTTTCGCAAATGTGCGCAAAATTCCGTTCCAATTTACAATGAAATAAAACAATTGTTATAACAATTTGTTCGTAGCTATATAGAAATAATGCAGAAAATTATGAAAATTTTTATATCGTGTAAAGAATTGTGAAATTTACAGTATAAGGGAATAAACGTTCAAATAATTAGCGCATGAAAGAATTAATCTTTAATCTCTAATTATTCGAGAATACGACGTAGAGAAGGACGGACGCGTGTTTTAGCGAGTCCAAATTCATTAATTACGTAAGAAAGTCGCGATTACATTCGCGTCAATATCTCTCTTTCTTAGCACTTTTAACATATTTAATTAATCTCAACTATAGAGCTCGTAGATTTTTAATACAATCGAGCGTCGTTCCGTAAACAGACTATACTTCTTATTATTCTGCTCTGCAGAAAGAATTATGCATACATCCCATGTGAATTGATATTAATCACATAATTTTTATTAATCATCGATCGCCAACAAAAATTTTATACATTAAATCTCTCTTAATATTAATTATATATTTTTTTTAATATAGAAAAAAAATCTAATAAATGGATTATATATTTTAAGACAAAATGTAATTAAAAAGCATAAAACGGCGCGCGCAGAGGCATGTGCTTGTCTTATATAATTAATCAACGGAATTATAATCTTTGCGCGCGCATTCAGATATAATAAATATACAAGATATATAGAGATATATCTGTATAATAAATATAATATATAAATATATATTTTTTTATATATAGAACAATATATAGAATATAAAATATATAAATTTAAATATATATGTGGAAGCCATAACTTATTATACTATGTTTAGATGAGTATGCGTTTTTGTTTAAAATTTGTACAAACAAACAATCATGTATGAGCGTCATTTCGATCGCGTGAAAATGTATGTTCTACATGTTATTTTTAAAGAACACTGCGAATTCTTAACATACGTTTAACGGGTGCGATAAGATAATAATATTCTATTGTGGAGAGATAAAATATAACGCGCAATTAAATCTCGATCACTAATATTTTTTTTCTCTTTCTTCTTAATCTCGCATTCGCGGACGACTTCTACTTTCGCGGTTGTAATACTTCAAATGCTTCAAATCTATATCTATGACAAATCTTTTCTAAATCATGCTCTATCGGCAATTATCTTATATCGCAAATGGAGACGTTTAAATATTTAGAGAAGATAAGAGATTCTCCTCTTTCTCCGACATACTGTAATGATCACGTTCGAAGACCTTTGCCTCTATGTCACATTTCACAAATCAGTACACGGGTAATAAATAACAATTAGCGTCGAACGATAGATAGACGAAGAACGTTGTTTTTGAATCGCAACCAAAACAAAGCAAAGTTAATTGTACGCTGGAAAATATGTTTTATTCAAGTACCAAGATATGTTCTTTATTATTTGTGTTGCCAAATTACACCGATACTACATCTCTTCAACGTCGCTACATTATCTAAATACTTCGAACATGATCACGATCGACGAAATTCTGTTGTATCAGAGATTAAACATTTAATTATGGACAGAATTTAAAAATTTCAAACTCACATCTTCATCCAATTTATACCCAATATTGCGAAATTTCATGCCATTCGTGCAATTGATTTGCGACGCGCGGATATGATCTGCATATCGAAACAAATCATTTTGATTTCTTTACTTATGGAGACAAAATTTCAATATAGTAACGATAGTAGAAGTAGCGATACGTTAATATTTGGAAGGTGTTGAAATATCGGACACAAAGGACTCTCTTCGGCTATACAGATTAAGGATATTTAGGATCTCGTGAAACTTTTCACGACACGGAGCTTCACAAAGCCAACATCTCCGATAACATTCATAATATTCAACGTAGGCATATAAAATCTGAAATATTAATAACATAATGTTTTTCCCTCGAAACGTAGTTATACACAGATAAACGATTCTCTTTTTTTTTTTTATCTCTCTCGCGCGAATCGCCATAGCGAGAGACGCCTTAGAAAACTACTTTGGCACTAGAATCCACGTAATCGTTAAGTTTCAAGCGTCGACTCGACATCCTCTGAAACGCCTATAAAGCTAATAAAAAATGCTTAACATTGTGCGCGCGCGTATACGTGTCTATATGTACGACGTGCTTCTCTTTATATTACGTGTGTATCTTCCTATATAATGTATATACATTCGACGCACGTATATGTATACTGACTTGTCTACTAAATATACGACTGTTTAGAAATGTCTTACATTCTAAAGAATTTACTATGACGTACCTACAATATTGTTATGAAGGTGATACTCGAATGATTAACCTTGGATCAGGGATGTTAGTAAACTTATGGTAACCCAAACTTTAGCACAAATTTTATACGAAAAAGGAATTTCATTTAATTTGTCATCTTTTTACGACACCTTTTAAAATTAGATAAACGCTAAAAGAAAAAGCAACTTGTATCTATTTAAAATTTTTTCTGTTTAAGATCAAAGTAACTTTAACTATTTTTTCCCTTAATAAATAATTTAAAAGAGTTGTTTACTGTTTATTGTTTCATTTTAATTTTAATTTAAAAGAGATTGATTTAAATAATTATATCATATATTTTAGCACAAATATTTCGAGGATTAAGAGATGACAACACATTTTCGCAAAAAAGGAGATGCGAAAATACAATTATATATCTTGAACAAAAAATAGGAAATTAGAGAGGAAGTTGTGTGAGTGTCATTTATGAATATTTTCTAATATTGTTAATGTTAATCTCACAAAATATGACTACTACGTCACTATCACTAGGGATAATATGTACGTCTATGTGAAATTGATGAAAAGAAGATTCTCTTATTTATAATGTTTTTTGATTACGCTCGTGATCGGCGTGTACTTTACTTACTGCCATGTTAACATTGATCATTATCACTTGTTTGTTTCAAGCACGAGAAATTCTCTATCGATGCAGACTTAATAGCATGGTCCATATAAAAAGTGTCAAGGAAGTATCATCTTAAATTGTCGTATCTTAAACGAAAGAAGCGATTTTCTGAACTATACTGAGAAAGAATACCGTCGCATGTCTGTCTATATATTACACCTGCCGTTATGTTCACAAAAGAGAAACGAGTCATTATAATTGATCATGTGGATCTTTGAAAATATTGAATAGAGAGAATGTTGTGGAGACAGAGCGTTTAAAGCGGCGACTGCGTCCTTTCTTCTCCTCGGTTGAATCGGTTATATGTTAATAAAAGCTAATCTCTCACATTAAATCTTCCTCGTCGCACGGTATTTACGTAGCTAGGTACTCATTTAGTCGGCTTAGATTCGCGAGATCATTATGATCTCTGCGCGATCGACCATCACGGTACGAGAAAGTTCCCCTTTACATATAAATTCGCTATACCAAGTAATATAATTCCTACAAGTGCACTATATTCGCCGTACAAGTGCGATCGTATTCGCTGCATTTCTTCAATAATCCCTGGACTAGTATCTTTCGTTGCAGTTTACCCTCGAGGGCGTTGCATTTCCCCTCCCCGCACGTCCACCCCTCCCCAACCCCTTATTCGTGAGCCCATTAACTCTCTATTTCCTCGATCGGGCTCACCTCGTTCTGCAGCAACTCGAACTTTGGACTTAAGCTCGGTAACATACCCCTGGTGCTCGTTTTGATTTGACTGTACTTGTTATAGATGTCGAGCGACTTCTTACGATCCATCTCGAGCGTCTCCTCGATCAATCGCGGTGGGATGCTGCCCGCTCGCTTGTGACTCGGCACGAAGACGCTACCTTCCGGTTTGCGATCCGTCTTCCTGTTGTCGTCCTTGTGCTCGGGCGTTAGCGTGCCGTTACCCAGTTTACGCTGCTGCTCCTGGAACGCATCCTCCTGAACGTCATCCTTCAGCAGCGCGCCGGTTATCACGGGCTTGTTACCCTCCGTCTTGCTGGAGAAATCGTTGCTCAAAGCCTTCTGCTCCATAATCTCCAGTTTGTTGGGCGTCGTGCCGTTCACCTGAAGATTCGGATTCGATCGCACGGCGTTTGGCAAACTGTCAATCTCCAACGTGCCCTCGCGTATCGCTGCGCTCACGACGTCTTGCAGGGACGACATGTTTTTTGATTTTCCAAAAAACTGCGGCTGCAAGCGGACGAACAATTTTCGTCTTTCGCGATCGATACATATATATTTATATTTTTTTTTCGAGCACAAAATAGTTAATTTTAAGATGTTTCAGTTTTGAAGTGTTCTAGTGAATGCGTCATAAAAATATGAATTAATATCGAAATTTCTTTCTCTCTTCCGA